CTCTCCCTGCATAGCACTGAAAAACTCCTGTGCTCCCTGCACAGCAACACAGACCCTTTCCACCTTTCACACACTGATCACCACATGTTGGGAGCTAGGACACTTACAGCCCCACAAGTCCACAGTCCTCCAAAGCACAGCAGAGGATGTAGTCTCCTCCATTGCCATCATACCTTCATTTAACCCAAACACCATGCAAAAAATAATTAAATTTCTCACACAGAACAAAAAAAAAAATGCCTAAATATACAGATTGTTGGTAGAACATCTGAAGTGAATGATAATTTCATCAGAAAGAAACCTACTTTTTGTCTTCAGGTTTGATCACAGATGGATCTGTAAGGTTTTCCCCAACACCTACAACAAAATCAACAGTGTGTGTTACAAAAGAAGGTAGTCACGATTTCATAATCTGGCACTTAACAAAAATGTAATTATCCATTTTCTTTGTAGATCATAAAGTGTCATATTTAAAGTGGTCACAAGTTAAAAAGAAAATGCTATGACTATAAAAATCTGTTGAGTATCAGCAAACATATAGAGTTCTTATTACAGTCCTGACTTCAGCTACTTTAAGGTTTATTTATATGCAGGTGGAAGGCTTACGCAAATGCACTAAACATTATGCTGAAGCTCAATTAAGCAAAATGTAACCAACCATAAGACCGCTACTTAAGTTTGAGCAAAGGTATTAATCAGATGTAGATCTTACCAATATCAATAGATCTACTCTCAAATACACATTGTCTTCAAGGTAACAAACACAAAAAGTCACAACTTCGTGATCTGCAAATGCTTGGGTCTGTTATCCTTTTTTTCTTTTGGGTGGCCATGGAAACGTATTAAATAAATAATTTAATTACGATACCCGAATGCTCATACCTATGTTGCAGTTTTCCCCAAACTTATGACATATTACCATTTCACCAAAAAGCTCTTATATCTGAGGAAACTGTTGTGCTTTTACACTAATGAAAAAAGTCTATGATCATATGATATGCAATTATTATGCAATCTATGATCATATGATATGCAATTATTTTTATTTCAATAGGTCACTGATGATAGGTTTACATTCTGCAACAAACACCAATAAAGATTATGGAAATAGCATATTGTGATTGAAATACCTCCAAATTGCAATACTCTTCAATGAAGATCATTTCAGTTGATGTAAATTAGACAAAATGTGGTGTCTATGTATGCAGAGATGGTCCTGGTATTATATAATAAATGGTCATAAAGATTAATCCTATTAGAACTCCAAGGGGAGCAGCCCTTGCACTTTTCCTAAACTCCAAATTAAAGAACTACAAGATAAACACAAGGCCAAAACTAGAGCAGATTTCAGTTTGTTTGAGATGGAAACTGAAGCTCCAGTCTTGGTGAGATTTACATAGATGTTTAAATTCTCCATGTTTGAGCCAACATAGTCAGTCTGGAACTGTCGAGAGTTGTATAATAAACCCAAGCAAACTTCGGACAAATTCTAGCAGGCTGTGGTGAAGACATACTTACTCTTTCTGTATTTTTTCATATGCAGCTAAAACCAAATGAAGGCAAGGATGGAATTATAGGTTTATTTTGCATAATAAGCATGTCTTTTTGTAATTCACAGCTTCTGGATGCTGTAAAATGTAAATATGCTAAGTCTCTGTCTACCCATACACATTTCCCTTGACAGAAATGACAAACAATAGTGTTTATACTGTTTGATGGGTGCTGTTCATCTTCTGAACATTGTCAACTGTTTTATCTCTTTAAAATATGCCATGTTCCCACTTACACATGTACTGTAAAGTGATCACATGCTCTTTGAAGGAGTCACCAGACTTTGTGAATAGCATTCAGGCTTGCAGCTTATGTAAACTGCTTACAGATTTATTAATACGAAAAATAAAAAAAATACAGATAGCAGTTCACACTCATCTGACAGATATACACATACATGAAGTGTGCATATATACATAGGTACACTTGAATCTCTGTATAATTTATATGTCTTAATAAAAATAAAAATACCTTAACTGTGGAGTGGTTTCTTGGAGCTGGCTGAAATGTTCCTGCACACTTCATCTACCTGCTCTTTTCCCCATTCAGCCTAAATGTATTTGAAGCCAAATTATTTTCCCATTACACCTACATTAATCCAGAGTGTTTCTGTGGATACTGATTTATCAGTGCCGCACAACAGATATCCAGGGGTTTCTTGAGCTTTGCCAGTATGTAAATTAGAACAGAATTTGGCCCATTCCTCAGTATTAAATTCTCTTTTGAGAGAATTGCTTTTCATTGGGTTTCAAATAGTGATCCCATGCTAGCAGCCACCTTGCAAATCCAGGACAAGGAGTTCCCCACGGGTGTATACATAGGTCCAGTGAGAGAAGGCCAGCATTAGTTCTTCCAGCAGGCTGCTGGGAGTAATCTCATCTCCATTGTTGTTGTTGTATTTCCGAAACTCGCCAGTCATGTACTTCTCAATGGTCAGCCACTGGTTCGCTGAATGGCAGTAGATGAGGAAAACTTCCAGGAACCTGTAGATATAAATGCTGTCTATCAGGAGCTGACGGGGTAATGAACATCCTCACAGTCAGTACACAGCATGATGCAAAGCAAATATACCAAAAAGGAACACACATCTTCTCTAGCTGGAGCATTTTGAACAGCAGGATGTACCAAACAGTAGACAGCACAAAGGCTTTCTCAGTTTGATAACTCTCAAAAACAAAGCACTTAATCAGAAAGTATAGTTTATGGACAAATAACATAATTTAATTTACTCCAGCCCACTGTAAATGAGCTATATCAGACTGTCTTATGTTAATTGTATAAAAGGCAATTCTTGCTCAAGTCTAAGGAACAACATTATGAAGAAGCTTATTTTGCCAGCACATGTAGCTATGAAGACAAAGTTGAAAGCTGCCTACCTTTCCTCTTAAAAAGTTGATTAACTATCATTACACTGTCTATGCAGCAGCTATTTCAACCCACTATGGAAAAGAAGGCTGCACTAGACCTGGGACACAGCTGAGAAGAGAAACCTTTGGCACCTAATACTTAAAGACAGTGATTTTACCTTGGAGTATAGGGAATAGTATGAGGCTTCACTTGATTGAAGGTATAGATTAACTTCTGGGCAGCCCTTTGCTGTTGGATCTCCTGAATAACATTATAAACATTACTTTGATTTTCATGAAGAAAGGTGCCATGAATATGTCAAAAAAACCAAACAAACAAACACCTGATTATATACTGTTTACAAATGGAAGATATATCTTCCTCAAAATCATTTTCCTTTCCAAAAGATAACATCAAAACACATGTCAACCATGCTGAAGACATTCACATGTAAGCAGTATAACATTTAAGGCACATCAGGCTAGACCAGTCGGTGTGCCTTCAGGTCTGAACTCACCCTCAGGCAGAGATGTAACACTGTGCCATCATGAAAGATCTTTTGCCAAGTCTGAACCACCTCTGGCAGAAAAGACTTCACAATAAATACTTGTCCCAACTTTAATACATCATTCTCAGACCAAGTACAAATGACCTTCATGGCCCTCCGCAGACCCCCATCCATCTCCTCCCGTGACAAGACTTGGATCATTGCAGCCATACCACGCTGGGACCAGGAAGACATGCTTTTATCAAGGTTCATAGGTGAACTTTCTTCTAGCCGATAGACTGTCACTTCCTCTCCAGCTTAAATAAAAGGAAGTTTTGTTAGCAGAAGTCACGTATTGCAGAAACAGCACAGAACTGCATTTTGATTTGGTATCTTAAAATAACATACCACTTTACATACCTTTGTAAGCCACACTTTAAAAGAGAGCTTTTTTATCATTACTGTTCATCTGTGTGAAAACTTCCCCTAGCCTAAATTTACACTGCTAACTACATACATTCCGCTTAAGATCTACTGTGATAACATAAGTGGTCCAAAGAGCTTGTATTAAGCCTCTAAGCAGAGATGAATTTAAGACCTCCTGTACACTTCCACACAAAGATCATTGATATTTTGGTCTCTATAAATCAACCTCATTTGCCATAGCCTTTTGAGTACTTAAAGATGGTTGAGCTTTAAAAGTATGTATTTTTAAAGGGCTACCATTTTATCTCCAGTGTATGAACTTTAAATAACCTGAGTGTCGCTCCCTCTGTTTATGCACTTATGTGGAAGGGGAATTTTTAGTAAGGCTTGTTTTAAGTTAATCAAGATCCATTGAACACTCACAGTATTTTCCTTGTAATTGTGCTTAATAAAAAAACCAAATAAACAAGGCAAACAAACACACAGAGATAGTAATAATTATCAACTGCAAAATTAAAGGGCTGGAAGATGCCACCTCTTGATGCAAACAGACAGCTGAGTTGTTTCAAAAGTGGTGACTTGGCCATGATGAGCCAGGGAAATTAGAATGAAAAGGACATGACTTTCCTTGGAGAAAGGAATCCTAGGAGAACAAGCTAAAGCATATTACCAGGAAGTTTACAGTTTTGATGTTTTAAACTAAGATTTGTCTTTTTCCTAGAAATTCCAATGCTATTGGTACTGCGCAAAGTATCTTCTGCTCCTGCTAATAACATTTTTCTGTAAGCAGAACAAACCCAGTGAGCTTTAACTCAGTCACAGTCTGTTTCTCTATATAGTTGTAATAGCATTCCTCTCTTTCAGTGTGAGACACCTCTCTGTTGCCATCATTTGTAAACCAACAGAAAAGTGGACTGATTCTTTAAACCTGGCTTTCCTTCTTGCAACTCATATTATTTGCAATGTTAATTCGTAAGAAACAGGTTTTCACTGGCAAGTGTGATGAGGTGACTACATCTGTAAAATGGCAAAGAATGGCGTAAGGAAAGACAAACTGGATTCAGATTAGTAGATTTCTTTCCCACTCCGGAGCCTACCATCACCAATTAGCACAAATGTAGATGCTGTCAAATGCCACAATTTGCGCACATTTTGATTTAAAATAAAGCAATAAAAAAGCTAGTGTCTTAGATAAGACAGACACTTGAATAAAGATACTATAACTAGACACATTTTTTAATCTCACATTAATTCTTCATTTTATTATCTTTTGACAATTTAATACCTAGAAAGGTGTCTCCTGAGAACTTCAAAGATTAGAATGTTCAATATGCTCATAGCTATATTAATTATCTGCAGCAATGTGGTCCCAAGAAATCCTATAATGCTGCAAATATCAGCAGTAAGGTGCTGTGAGACAAAATATTCTACCCATTGAAAAGAAGGCACCTAGATCTCAAGTGTCTAGAGGCAGAGCTTCTGCTGCTGTAAGCCAATACCGCACACTAATTTCAGAACTCTTCCAAACAATTTATGTATTGTCTCTACCTCTCTCCAGTTACAGCACAGTTCTTTTTTCCTTGGTACACTACAAGTCTTCTGTACCAGGTACAGGAGTAGTGCCCTTTCAACCAATACCTGGTTTTCTTCTTGATAGTATATTCTATACCTACATCTACATGCACGTGTTTGTGTGTGAGAGAGAGAGAAACAGAGACAGAATGAAGGTATTATGGTTAAGGGGAACCTTTTTGCTGTCTTCAGCTACCCTAATGACAGGTATAAAGAATATAGAGTTAGAGTCATCGCTGAGGTTGACAGTAATCACATGAATGCTAACAGATACAAGTTACAGCAAGGGAAACCCCCCAAAATACTGGTAAAAATACTAGGTTCACAATGAAGTCAGTCAAACACTGGAAGAGGTTGTCCAGCAAAGCTAAGGAATCTCTATAGACACATTCAAAATGCAACTGGACAGGCCCTCAGCAACGTCATCTGAATTGGCCGCAAAGGGAGTTGGACCAGATGACCTCCAAAAGTCCCTAAATTACTGCATGACTACAATTCTATCCCGGTTCACCTCTTTTAAAAAAGAAGAACTGCTGAAATTAATCCAAGGAAATTTCTCAAACACAGTCTTTAAAAAGATAATGCATTGACTATTTATAAAGCAAAAAACATAACCAGGAAGTTGGTACTCACCAAAGAGCTGGACTGGTGTAAATGGTATGGTCTGAGCAAGTCTCATCAAGTTGTTTCTTTCAACAGCTGCAAACAACATAGAATTCACTACTATACCAAATAAACAACAAGCTGACTGAGTTTCAAGAACTTCTGGTAGCGCTTTACTGTAGTGTACAAAGCCAAGGAGGCTGCAGCATGATCCTGTATCAGATCTGATCACCATTCTACCCAGCTAGCAACTCCCCTTTGCATGCCCATGCTACCTCACAAGCATCAGCTGCCACTCTTTCTCCCACTCATTGATTCCCTTCTTCCAAGGAAACAGGCTCTCTGGGATAAGCCCCTTGCACCCTGGCTAGAAGGACTGCTTCTGCTAACTCTTTGTCCTCCTCCTTCCACCAGGGGCTGCCACTATTTCCTCCTCTTGCTGGCTTGACTGCAGCAACATTCACACTGTGCCAATGAGACACACTGGCCCCAGCTGCCCTCACTGCCTGTCTCTGTCAGGCTCAGAAGCACCTGGGAATTTAGCAAGCCATCACAGGAAAATCCAAGCTTGCCCTGCACGGAGCACTGTTTCTTCATCTGGGCTTCTTGTCAAACAACATCAGTAACATTATTATATCTCCCTAATTGGAGGCTTATTTCTCAGGCAAACACCTTCAAAACTTCAGAGTGTCAGCTAAACATTTATGGATTTGTCCTCACAATGACTCAGTTATCACGAAGGGGAAGAGAGGTGTGAAGTTAACCGCAAAGAGGGTAAGACTACAACAAGGAGGCAACTCGGATGCTACAGGGCTGACTGCCTAATATCCATATTCAAGGGCTGAAGACAAAACTAGCATGCAAAGCAGAAAGTGAACCACAGCAGAGCTGTGCTTCTCTGCAGAGTAACCAAAAAGCCCTGATGGCAGACTCTTCCAGACCTTGGACACCATCTGTCCTTCTTTTTAAGATTACTTGTCTGAGCAGAAATTAATTAGACATTATTTAGCCCAGAAGGAGAGAGCAAAGGGGACCCATGACATGCCAACGTATGAATTAGGGTCCTCATTGGAGAAGCTCTGCATTTCAGGTTCCACTTCAAGGCTTGTTTACATATTCTGAATTCAACAGGCATTGGTTAACATGCCTGAATAGTTTTGGAGCATGGACTGAAAAACAAGGTCCTCCCTTGATGCCTCACTAGGAACATGCTCTAGTCACAAAATTAGTGCATAGCAGGGACAAGGATATGAACTTATGAGGTCCTCTGAGCTGCCAGACCTGTGCCATCTGTCAGACACTGCCAGTACTCACTCTAGAGCCTCCAGAAGCAATGTGGACTTGCACCAGCTCCTGAACTTGAGTCAAAACTCAAGTTCTTTTGGGTGCGCAGAGAGTCAGAACTGTATTTGCCTGCACAACATGATAGCAAAAACAGTGCATAAGCAGTATATGCTGCAGGATTTTAGTATCAAACTTTTGGGCTTAGTTGGCTGAATTCTACCCCGGTCTTCCTGAGGAAAGAAAACCTACACTGGAAACCTCTCGAGACATTTGTCAACTCATAATGGAAACCATTCTCATTTGTGCTAAAAAGTCCTACCTAATCTCAAACAGCATGCCTGACAAGAGCCAGATTAATCACTGCAACAACGCCACGATGTCAGAGAAATTCCTCCTGTACACTGATTACAAACCAGGAAGTGTTATTCCCAGTGAAAATCGCATAGTTTTTTGAATTTCAGCAGGCTGCTAATGCTTCTGGTTTACCCTAGGCTTCCCTTTAAAGGAGGCCAAGTCCTGCAGGCAAGAGAGACATCTACTGGCAAGCTCTCCACAGCTCTCCTCCGGGAAAAACTGAAATCCTAGCCTTATGGGAAACTCTGTGCATATTCAGTTCAGGAAAAGACAGGACTGCAGGCAATTAGCATCCAAATGATTTATTCCCTGCCAGATTTCCAGGAGTTCATAGGTATATAAACACAGATTAAGTAGTACAGGACCAATTAACTGAAGAAACCAATTCCAGACAGTACAAAGGAGGATGTGGGAGGTGTGAGGGGAAGTGACAGCTATAAACAAATGAGTGCCTTTTCTGCCCCCTCCCCCCGGAATCGGAGCTCTATTCACTGTTTCCACTGATATTTTGAAAGCGATTATCTACATTCTGCTCTGGATGTGCCAGAAATACCCGGAATGGAGCAATTAGCAGCAAGAAAATAATTCATAATTTCCTCACTGGAGCGTTAGGCATGAATTAATACAGAACCTTCTTAGCAGTGGGCAATTGCGCAACTCTTCAAAGTGAAAATCACAGAGGATGACAAGGGAGGAACTAATGTTCTTTTTAATTTGTTAAATTACTCAGCTATCATTCTGGTGCCTTCTGCTTACCTGAGTAGTGATGATGCAGATCTTGAGATGTTTTCAAGCAGGCAAAGATATCTGAAATAATGTTTAAAGGATCATTACATTAATTATTATAGCAGAGATAAATGCATGATTTTTTAATTCCTTCCATCCCAGAATTTGTCATAAAACAGATTAATCAGAATTACTGTCTCGGCAATTATAATGTACAGTATATTGGCAGATTTCAGTCATCAACGTAATATAGCCAGATGATTTATTTATTCAGGCAAATGGTGGGAAACTTGTGATATTAACCTCAAGGACATGTAGCTTCTCTAAGCCAATTACACCTCTGGGATATTAAAAGCACTTTGCTGTCCATCATGCTTCACAGCCTCCCAAAGGCATGATTTTTCCAACTCCATCCTCAGTCATTAAGCATTCCATTAACTATTCTATTACACCAAAGTTATAATAATACTGTCCCATTAACCCGCAACATCTAGAATGCTGTTAAAATACAAACAGACAAACAGTTTCTGTGGTTCAATATTTAACAGGCACAGCCAGATCAAATTTGGTCCAAAAATCTTTGTTTTATAAAAAATCTTTTTAATAAAACCAAGATTAACAAGCATGTTTCCATTAATTAAATGAAATCACTTTGTTCTATTGGAAAACAATCCTTCAAAATGACAGATTTCAGAAAATATGCACACTGTTCTACTTTTACTTCTGAAAAATTAGATAATCAAAGCTGAATCTTCATCAAAATATTTGAACATTACACTTTTCTTCTTGGTGTATTTTACTTGCCTATATTCCCTTTTCTAGTGAAAGAGATCTTAAATAAAAAACATAAATAGATGTTGGAGGAAGGGCCAGCATTTCCACTGAGTGCCCTTGGTGATTCAAGGTCCCTTTTGCTCTCTTTCTTGCTGGACCCAACTAGTTTTGTTGTTTTTCATATGTTCTAAAACAACAAACATGAAAAGTGGAATGGGGGCTAAGTCATTCCTTTTGAGGATCAGAAAACTGGATTTTAATCAAAGCAATGGTGAGCTCTAGAGAGCAGCCCCAGAACGCAGTACGCTTGCAGCAGTGCTTCAGCACTGCAGCGTTTTGTGCACAGCCAGACCCAGAAAGAGCAGCCCTTAAAGGGGAGATAAGTCTTAAGAGCAAATTGTTTCTGCATCACAGCTAGTCTTAAAAAGAGATAGATGCGCAGCTGCTCAGCTTCTTACAGCTAAGTGGCATGTCAGGAAAACTGAAAGATAGACTAAAAGGTAACAAATACAAGTGAAGTTAACTAGCACTCTACTTTGGTGGAACAGTCATTCCTCGCTATAACCTTGAATTTCGTCATTGGCCATTTCATAATAAATTCAGTCCTTCACTGATTTCATAATTTCAGGGAAACCACACAAACAGGAATCACAGCAAACTGCAACTTGAAAAATCAAGCCTACATTAAAAATTCTATATCACAACCTATCCTCAGGTATAAACCCTGCTTTAACTCAGGAGGTCTCTTAGACTGCCAGGGATGAAAGCAGCACCATCATCCTAAAGAGTTTCTTC